GGGGGCAAAGGGACAGGTGAGAGAAGTTCTCAGTGCTCTCTGTGGAAATGGTTAGTAGGGGAATGAAAGGTGAGGCTGAGCAAAGATAAATAAAAGGATGACTTAGTAGCATGGTTCAGGAAACTTAGAGGTCTAGAGAAGTAATTTAAGATGCTTTGCTGGTTACTGCTGAGGAATATGGCAGCAAGAGGAAGGGGGCTAGTTTAGAGAGGGGAACTCATGAGTGTCTATTATGTTCCATGCACTGTTCTTGGTATCTTATATAGGGTTATTTAGATCACACAGTGTAACCCTATCAGGTACCTATTAATATCTCCATTTTGTTGATGAAAAGTTGAGGTTCCAACAGGCTAAGTAACTTGTTTAAGGTCATAATGTTAAGAAGCACTCAAGTCAGCATTCAAATCCATGTCTTTTGACTACATGCATGTAGCAATCCTGGGGGGACAGGCCAGTCCCCCTTCCACTCCACCACATTTTTTTCCCCTTGGTACTTGTTAAGAAGAATGTTCCTGCCTGGAACAACAATAACAAATAATACTAAGTGCATTAGTGGAAAAATCAATTCAAGACTAAAACGTTTAAAGTATAATATATGTTTGTTCACTACAGAAAATATCACTATCTAAACACACAAATCCTACTGCCATATTGATTACTAATAGGAAAAATATTTTACATGGTGGAATGAAACCAATGATATAAAAGTAGGAGACAGTGTCAACTGAAGAGATGAAAGGCGTCTGATAGTTCCTTGCTTCTGCTCTCCTAAAATCTGGTTGTGTGCATCTTATACTTATGATTTTTATGCAAATCCTCTGTAACCAAAAGACTCTAACCAAAAATGGAAACCACGCAAACACATACACACAAGTGAAACTATTAGTTGTGTTTACAGCTTAGATAAGCTGAACTGATAGGAATTCACACACAAAAACAAAACCAGAAATGTCGTAATAATTAACATATATAGCACTTATTATATATGCCAGGCAATGTTGCAGTTTTACATATCATTTGAGCCTCCCAAGAGTTCTATTATGTAGGTCCTATTATTGTACAAATGAAGACACTGAGGCATAGAATGATTAAGTAACTTGCTCAGTATCACATAGCTTGTAAGCAGCAAAGCAAGCTCGAGAGTCTGTGGTCTTAAACACTATTATACTGCCTCTCATAAAATTTAAAAGGTGGTTGTGACTTTCCTCCCTCTGGAGAGTTCTGAGATTGCATTTTAGAACTATACTTCCTAAAGGGCAGAGCGATGGACTAGGTACCTCAGACTTAACGTTCTGAAATGTGTAAGTTGTGAACAAGAGAAACTGCCATACCCGAGCAGAACATGGTGGTCTGACATGATCAGGAGCTGCTCCTTCTGGGGAAAAAAAAATAGCATTTCTTACAAAACTCTTGAAAGACTTGCATAAGCAGTCCAGGGAGGGACCCAATCACTTTTTGCCACAGGAGATTCTTTTTTTGTTTGTTTGCCACGGGAGATTCTTTTGTTTGTTAGCTCCTACATTGTGGGCTAGTTTTAAATAAAACTTTAGGGGCACTTGGGTGGCTAAGTCCGTTAAGTGTCTGCTTTCAGCTCCGGTCATGATTCCAGGGTCTTCAGGCTCCCGGCTCAGCAGGGAGTCTGCTTCTCCCTCTGCCTCCACTGCTCCCCCTGCTTGTGCTCTCTCTCTGTCAAAATAAATAAATAAAATCTTTAAAAAAATCAATAAATAAAACTTTAAAACATGCTATTAATGTGCCTGGTAAGTTTTTATTTAAAACAAACAGCTTAAGTACTATTCCATGACTCTGCAAAGTGTAAAGGTACAAAACTGTAGAATATTATGAGTGGCGCAGCAGGGCGGTCCTCTAACATGGAATTTTATGATGGTCTGGGCCTTGACAGTTCTCCCTGGGAATTGCTTTGTAAGGATTATTGCTTTTTCAAAGCAGTGGTCCTTGTCCAGGAGGACAGAGGGATGACGCCCCTGCATGTAGCAGCCTTCCTTCCATATCCTTGAGACAAAGGATGTGGACTCAGTACAAATAATACAATGAACTATAATACTGAATAGTTTTTAATTTTCTGGCTGAGTAATACTGATATTCCCTTTCTAATCCATTCTACTTCACTACAAATTACCTCAAATGTATTCCTGTCAACATCCTGCTCCAAAACCTTCAAGGGCCACCTAATAGAATACTGTGCAAGTTAATTAGCGTTTAAAGTCCTCTCCCATGTAGCTTAAACCTACTTCCCATTATTCTGACTCTGCTTTAGTCACAATTTTTTTTTTTTTTTTGCCTTTTCCCCACTCATTGTCCATGCTAGAGCTACAATCCTATAGTCTACTGCTATTCCTCTGCCCACTGTTTCCTCTTTCTGGAATAGTCTCCCAACTTATTTACATGCTAATCATTCTTCAAAGTTCACTCACCCAAGCCCCAGTCCCAAGAAGCCTTCTCTGAAACTGCGCACTCACTAGGATATCTACCTGAAGCTGCGTTCAAAGCACTTACCACAAACTGTCTTTGATGTTTTTCTATACCTGTTCCTTCTACCTAAAAAGATTATAAATCATCTCAGAGAAGGGACTAAGTCTTTAACTTCCGAATCCAGTATAGTACCCAACACAATATACATGTCCAGTGATTGCTGAAGGGGACTTTTAACTCTGGTTTTAAAAATATCTGTGGATATTACCAATTTGCTCAAAAGGTTTAACATTTGGTTTAGACAAAATTCCACAAAGATCACAAAGCAGTTTTAAGAAGGATACAAGGATAAAGGTACAAGGTAATGTACCTTTAAGCTGGGCCTCAGCCTAAAAAGACATCTGAGTTTAGAATCCCATTTCTCTTGTAGTAGATATGATCATGTGTAGACTGCTACTTGGAACATGAGAAGTTACAAAGGCTCTTTAAAGAGGAGAAATTAACAAAATAGGCAGATACTTCTGTGCTGTCTTCCCTTCCATATACTACAAGTGGGTTAGTTGAATACACGAGAAACCAAATAATTTTTTAATGTCTTCTGCATCAATTATACTTCTAAGTGACAGAGTAAGGAGAATGAAATAATACATGATGTACATCTGTTACCAATTATGTCTACATTATGAAAGATGTAATGGTTTGTCAGTTGTCACTGTCCTTTTCTTGTAACACAATATGGAATAAAGTGCAGCAGAATAATTTCTATTAAAAAAAATCTACAGGAGCACGTGGGTGGCTGTCGGTGATCCACAGGGTCCTGGGATCGAGCCCCATGTCAGGCTCCCTGCTCAATGGAGAGCCTGCTTCTCCCTCTCCCTTCCCCTGCTTGTGTGCTCTCTGTCAGATAAATAAATAAAATCTAAAAAAAAATAAAAATAAAAAAATCTTCTACATTATCTGATTGTTTCAGATATTTATCATTATAATTTACCAAGATTTTGGTTTCTATATACCAATCAGAAAGAGATAATTTCTCACACAAATAGGGCAGGGTCTGCCTCTTTCCATACAATTCACAGCACAGTAATTTTTTTAAAGCAATAGCACTTCTAAAGCACTTTTCATGCCAGACACTGTGCTAACACCACGTGTATTTCCTCATTAACCAGCACCACTGTTATCTCCGTTTTACAAATGAAGAAAGTGAAGTTTTGAGAAGTAAAACCCTCGGTCATGACTACTACGTGTTCAGCCTGGGGCTAACACCCAAGTTTCCCTCATCCCAAATCTCATTCTCTGGAAATGAGCAAATTAGCTAACATTATTTTGATTTATAGAAATCCCCTTCAGGAATGAATATGCTCACTACTGCTGTTAGCCTTTGTATTTCCAGAATCACAGGACTTATTAATGACTTGCTTTCATATTCAAGTCTCTTAGGCTCTTTTGTCATTTTAATTATCCTAAATAAGTCCCTGATCATCCCTACTTATTTTTTGCAGCCCTCCAATTACTGCATCGGTTATGTCTTTTCTTCATTTAACATCACCGGGCTCCTACTGAGCTCAAAGACAGTGTTCTGGGAGAGATGGGCATGAACCAGAAAAAAATATGTGCCTTCAAGTAGCTGAAAGCATACCATATAATCAAGGTATGGGGTTTTTAATTCATCATCCATAGCATGAATGTTTTCATCGCTTCTCGGCCTTTTGGCTAAGATCAAGTGTAGCATGAATGTTTTCTACATGTGTCTTAATTATGAGACAAAAAGATTTTCAAAATCCGGAGCCCATGGCACTTAGTTCCAACCTGTGTGATACAGCGTTGGCAATATGCCTCAATTCGCGGTTCTACTAAGGGATTGTAATTTAGTCGCAGACATATTCCCTATGGCACTGTCGTTGATGCTTTGCATCAATTCGCCATACTGAATGATTATCTGTCATACCAACGAGCCTGGGGCCTCTGTCTCCGGAAGTTCACTGTCACCAGGGGCCGCTGACACTTCTTTCCTCAGAGAACCACCCCCGGCCCCATTCTGGGTGAGGGCTCCTCTAGCGAACCCATGCTTGCGACCAATGGCTGCCCCTCACCACAATGTAAACTCCAAGAAAGGCTCCACGAGAGGCCCGACAGCGCACGTTCGTGGCAGCACATAACCACCAGGGGAACGGATCGAGGGCTCCGTCGCCCCACCGCCGCTGGCGCCCCAGCAGGCAGGAACGTCCTCCCTCGAGTCTCCCAAGGGCCGGCTGCGGCCGAAACCCCTCATGGCCGGCCCCGCCCCACCCGCGCTCGGAGCACGCAACGTTCGCGGTGCTCGCCGCCGCTGCACGAGGAGAAAGAGCCAAGAGGAATCCGAAGTTCGGCCCGGTCGGAGCCAGGGGCGCTGAAGAGCGCTCGCGCGAAGCCCTGCCCCTGAACTCTCACCCATGACGAGATCCCTACGCGGGAGCCGGAGACGCGGAGCCACCGCCCGCGCTCGTCGCCCCAGCCAATCCGGGACCCGCCTTACCCATCGCGCACACGCACGCACCCACCGGGACCCTCGCCTGCGGGCCGCTGGCTTCTGATTGGCTAGGGCCAGGTGTGGGCGGGACGAGAAGAAGCCGGCTGGACGACGAGCGTGGGAGAGAGCCAGAAACCAGCTGGAGCCGAAGTCCTAGCATTGTAGGTAAGTGAAGATTGAGGGAGTCATGGAGCGGACGACACCCGACCGCGGAGCGGGAAGAAGCCGGGCAGCGCTTGGCTGGGCCGAGAGCGCTTTGGGAGTGGTGGCGTCCGCGGGGCTGGGAGGAGGGGGGAGATGCCCGGGTTGAAGGGGGCGAGGTGGAATTGGCGGGTTTCGGGCCCGATCTCGTGGTTCAGGGAAAGTTGGGGGGTCTGATGGCCTTTGGGTGAGGGGATGAAGTAGAAGCTTGTGGAGTGAATCGTGGCCGAGAGGGAAGACTCACGGAGGGGGCAGTAATGAGAGAGCCTTGGAGGGGGCTGGGGCCGACCTCAGGGAGCCGGTAGCGCGGATAGTACCCGGAGCCGGGAGCCTTCCGGAGAGCGGGCCCGCGCGGTGGGTGAGGAGGGAAGGGTTGGGAGGGCAAGCGCTCCGGCCTTGGAGTCCCGACAAGGTCACGGGAGGGGGGGGGGGCGGTTCGAAAGGTTGAGGGCGTAAAACCACACGACCTTACTCTTCTCCACGACCCCGGGTTTCCTCCTACCCTGGGAAGGTAAGAAGGCCCCAGGCCCTGTATAAAGCATCTGTAACGGAATTTAAATTTCTTCCAAGAAAGCTAAGCCCGCCAGTTAGGGATTAGAAAACAGCGCGGGTTTAGAATTGGGAGCAGCTGAAATGATTCGGCAGTGTTTCTCGCCTTTCTCTCTCATATACGGGTGTGGGCAGCACCTAGTTCCTTCTGTCGGGTAATCCCCACCACAGGATTTATACTTCCAGAAGTACCCAGGCACTTTCGAGTTTGACTGGTTTGGATGGAAAAGTTCAGACAGATTGAAGAGGCACCAGGTCCCAGCGTGACACACAAGTTTGAGTCCTGAATACCAGGGCATCTCTTGGTTCCTTGTGCCCCAGAAGCAGTTGAAGGGGGCTTCTTAAAATACAGATTCCTTGGGCCCTGCCCCAGACCCTCTGAACCAGAATCTCCAGGGTGGGGCCTTTGCAGCCATTTTAAACAAGCTGACAGGTGACTGATGGAAAATCAAAATTTGAAGTCCTTGCTGTTAGTAGTTCTGTGACCAAAATGACAGGCTGTGAAGATCCTTCAGTCTGTTACATCATCTCATGCTGGGCAGCTCATCTTCCCTGACATCTTTTCTAGGGTCCCATGCATTTGGAAAGGTCTGCAGTAGTATCTTACTAAGTTTAGAGAATAATTAGTGTTTTCAGATTGGCTTTGAATATCATCTGGTCATTGGTGCCTCTTTTTCTACCTCTTCAACTTTTTGGCAGAGATCTGGGTCAATTGCTATGGGCAGATGAGAAAATTAAAGGGAAATCTAGAAGTCCTGCTAGTGAAAAAGATCTGTTCAAAGCACAGTTGAAATTGGTGGATGAGTTAAGTCACTGGGGAAGAAAGTTCCATTTAATTTTAGGCATGACTTGCATATTTTTTACAATTCAAAGAAAGAAAGGCAGGCTTCTGTTAAGGAATGGATTTTAATATTTTTCAGATTAAATATATTACCAGCAAAAGATTGATGCTTTGGCAATATGTTGTCAATCAGAACAACTCTAGACTGTATCAGGAGATCTGGGTTCTAATCCTCCCCTGCCAGAGATACATTCTTGATGTTGAACAATTCATATAACCTTTTTCCATCTGTAAAATTGGGCTACTGGCATCGATTGTCTGGGTTGTTATTCTCAAATTATATGATTCATAGTTATTGATCCTGATACATTAAAAGTTAGCCATTTTCATTTTGTGTGGCTGTAAATCATGAATACTTGGGAAACTTTCAGATGGTAATTAGGAAGAGAATTATCAAAATTTTATATGCAAGGAGTGTTATGAATATATAGTATATTAGGTATAAAAATATAATTTGAAGTATAGTATAATAAATCTGTGATGTGTTGGACTTTTTATATTCCTCTTTATTAATTTTATCTTCAAATGCGCCACAAGGTGTTCTCAGTCAGAAACAGGTTATCATTAGTCACTGAAAGCAAATAATGACCACATGGTTTCCCCCACACCCGTATTGCCCTAAGGATTACTTTCTGAAAACCAGATCAAATCTCCTACCCATACAAACTTCAGAGTCCCTATCATAGGTGAGGAATGGAGATGAGTGGATTTTCTTCTTTTATATACAGGAGAGAGATTGCCATCCCCTTCCTTCCTGAAGGAGGGAGAAAAAACTTCTGCTCCATTGACCAGTTGAACAATTTACACTGATCCAGAGGTGAGAGATTAGAGGAAAGACCACTGACTTTCTTGTTTTTAAAGATAATTCCCAAATGACTTCTTAGTTTAGGAATAATTAAGACAAAGGAAGAAAACATGCATATATCTGCAAAAGAAGGTGCTAGTTTTATTTTTATTTTTTTTTATTTAAAATATTTTATTTATTTATTTGACAGAGAGATAGAGAGTACAGGTAGGCCGAGAGGCAGGCAGAGGGAGAGGGAGAAGCAGGCTCTCCGCTGAGCAGGGAGCCCGATGTGGGGCTCGATCCCAGGACCCTGGGATCATGACCTGAGCTGAAGGCAGACGCTTAACCGACTGA